TCCTCTGTCGTTGGAGAGTCGGAGGACTACCAGGGGCGGTCGTACAGCCCGGGGGCTGTTCGGGGAGCCGCAACCCTCCGACAGCCAGTTATTCATAACCCCCGAATCCCCCTCTACCTTTGGGATTCCCTCTCGCACCTGTTCCGACTAGGCTCGGTGATGTTTCCTGTATTTTTCCATCCACCTAGCCGGAGCAGAGACGGGCTAGCAGCCATTCGTGATTCGCACATGCGCAAAATTCCCACCATATGATTCCCACCATAGCCCCCAAGCCACTTGTGGTATTTTCTTTTCACTAGCCCAGCCTTTCCATTTCACAGCCTTGAGGTGGTAGAGGTCATTGCCTTTGGACTCTATCTCATTGTGATGGACGGTGACTGCTTTTCTCGTTGTGGTTAGACTATTTCCCCTCTGGAACTCTGCCATTGATTGATTTCAGTGGCATGGGCTTCATCTAGTGCAGTTTGAAGGGTTAGATCAGTCTTGGCCAACAGTTGGCACTACAGCCAGAAGTCTTGCACTCCACATACCACTTGATCAAGGAGGACATCATCTAGGTCCCTGAATTCGCAGTAGAGGACCACTATCCTCAGGGCTGCCACAAATTAATTGATGGATTCGCCCTCTACTTGGTTCTGATGGAATGAGTGACGGCAGGTGATTCGGGAGGGCAGGGGCAACATAGTGGTTCCTCAGCTAGCACTGACTATACCTTCTGGGGGGCGAGGAGAGCTCTCACAGTCTCAAACATTTTTTCCCTCAGAAGCTTAAGAAGTAGGCTCTTTTCCGGTTGCTGGAGAATCCTATGTAGTCATTTGCCTCAAAGAAACACTCAAAGTGAGTGATGTAGGATTTCCATGCTTTCAAGGCTAGATTGAAGGACACAAAGGTGGTTAGCACAACCATTCCTGTCAGACTTGGGTGGATGCATCTGCAGAGTTAGGCTTGTAACATCACCTCGTCCCTGTTCAGTGTTTAGTGAGCAGGTCTTTTATAAAATGTTAAAAGATTACTTTGTATTCTTTTACAATGCTAAATTTATAAGCCATTATGTTCTTGTGTAAAATGGGTAATAAGTTACTGTGCTTTTGTTAACCACAAAATGTGTTCATAAACAGGACAAGATAACCTCTGTTATTTACACGTAAACACGGCTTGGAATAACAGAGGTTATCTTGTCCTTGAGCCATCTGCTCAAATGAAAGGCACCGGAAAAAACCAAATAAGAGATAGGGGCCTCTCAAGAAATTGTCAAGTTGACCCTTTACAGCAGTGTTTTTCAACCTTTTTTGTGCAAAGGCACACTTTTT